TCAGTAGGAATTTCGAGCGAGAGAACAGACAAGAGCAGCGACAGAGCATGCAAACAAGCGAAACGACAGGTGGGCGGAGCAAGAGTCATTTGAGCAATCTGTGATTTATCGCCCCTACTTTACAGTTTTCTTACGCGAAACAAGGATGAAACAAGCTTGCTCATTGCGCTACGCACTACTTTCCCCTACAGAATTTCGACTTTCATAAATAACAGCGGAATGTGTCTCCGGTTCAGGCACCATTATTTACCGTATACGAGCTTGGAAAAAACTTCTTCAAAAACCTCTTTGAACACGAGCATGTTGCCGAGCTTGTCCACAGTTACAGCCACAGCACGTCCTCCCGTTCGGCAAAATGTACGGTATTTCCTCAGAATTCAATCCTCCTTTACGACACTTTTCCCAGCTTCCTACCACTTCCCCGTTTTTTTAATAATCTCCCTCCCGGCCCGGTTCACTACTTCTCAGAAAAGTGCCGTCGAGCATAGGATTGAGGTATACAGCTCAAGGAAAACCCGAGAAAGCTCCAGACCCTGCAACCAAATACCCCCCCCCTTCCCTCCGACTGAGGTCTCCCAAACTGAACAGACGTGAATCAAATCGAGTACACTATATTCTGTTATGTGATACTTGTTCTAAGCAAAATATTATGTCATCATCGCGGTTTTATTATATTTCGGAAGGAGGTAAAAAGTAATGCCTCTATATTTACAGTACTATATCAATTCTGACTCACCACTTGTCTCTCGAGGGACTCGCAATGAACGGTGGTAGTCTGTGTACTGCGAGCTGCACAATGGTATCGGGCCCATTGCGATCTGCAAAGGCGGGATTGACACAGCCTATCATCACGAGAATTCGCAATTCTCAGAATTAACGAATGAAAGCACAGCGACTGGTGAAAAAGGTTTCCCTCAATTTTTATGAGCCCGCCCACCACCCTCATACGACTCGTGCCCCCCTCCCCAACATGACAACTCCCTGACGATGATGTGCCGTGTCACGAATAAATCTGAAATTTACCGGTCTCATTGTGTTCTTCACAAAAATGTCTCTGCAAAAATGCTGTCGATTCAACGTCACGTAAGCGGCTCGAGCTGCTTGATTGGTGGTTGTTGGCTAAAAAGGGTGAATCAATGATCTTTGCCCTTTGAGCATCAAAAAAAAGAGCTGAGCTTACGTGGTATATCACATCGGCACACGCCACATTGGTGTGAATAAGAGAGCTGCGATGGCGCATGTACACCACTTCTTTCCACCAATCAGATACCTGAAAAACTTGTTCAGTTGAGAAGGATTTCCTGCTCGTCACAAGGGTTCAAGGCGCATTCCTGGCTTGTCAAATGTGCAAAGTGGAGCCTATGGTTGTGTGAGCGTTCCTGGTGCAATCTTTTTTTGGAGGCGGTGATTATGAGAGGCGCTCTAATAAGGAGGTGCGATGGTAGGCTTGTCTCCGCCCACACAACCAGCGCGGACTATGCGTTCACTAGTGGATATGCTGTAAAAAGAAAATAGCAATTAACATACGTAATTCTTAGAAATGAGCCATTTCATCCAAAGTTTCCTCTGAATATCTTTTGCAATAGTCTTTTCGAACTCGTCCGCTTGAGATGTCATCTTCTCGAATTCATCGTCGTTGAGAAGTGGGCGAACAGTCTTCAGATACTGAAAGAGTGGCACATAAATCTTAGCGATAAGGCTGTTCTCATACTTGAAGGCGGTCAAGAGCCTAACTGCATCATGGAGTTCAGCCAGTGCATGCTACCAGCTTCACCCATCACCCTCATGCCCTCATGTCTGTAGGCCTAATCCCTGAGTGGAACCAAGTAACCCCGCTTTTCCATATCTCCGTAGTTAGCTAATTAGATAATACGCGGTAAATAATAACATGAAATATACCACGGAAATGTATACTTCATTTTAGAGGTCAAAGACGCATTGGCACGATGGTTTCCCACTCGGCCTAAAATGCTAGTAGGGCGCTATGTAGTGGGGAAATGGCGAAAGAACGGAGTGAAACGGTCAAAATCCGGCGAAGAAAAAGCCTCCGTTCTCAGTGACTTGAAAATCGATTTCGGACGAGTTTCCCGTACGCATCTTGCCATACGTACTTGCAAGATTACGGCCGCATATGGTTTCTACATAATCCCTTTTGCTTCACAATTTGCCTCAGCAAATTTGAATGAATACAGTCTGCGGACATTCGTCCGTTATGTGGGATAGGGGCGAGGAAAGCGTTTTGGCAACAGAATGTTGAAAGGAACAGATGATCGACTGTTTTCTTATCCCCTGATTTCATTAGTTGGGGCTACATTGCTGACTTGATTGTGGCGCAGCGTCCGAGCATCGCCCAACTAGTGTCTGTTGCCTGCAATTACTGCAACAAGTTTTTCAAAGGCACATTCCGCGCTGAAAGTGTTAGCGATGGAGAACCACCTCACTGGTACGCTCCTACACCCACGATCCTGGTGCGTGCTTTCTCCACGCGTGACCCCGCCTACCTGCTCATCGTGGAATGTGCCATTATCATTCGTGTTATTCTTAAATCTTCTAAACGTACTGAGCTTCTGACAGAAACTTCGAAAAGTTGGAGCGAAGCAGTACCGTTCTCACTGTATCCCGCACGGCTGGAGGCATCATCCATGGCAGGAGACCTTGAAACGAGAAGAATCGAGCTCTCTTCGACAGCAACTGCAAGACCACCTGAAGCATGGCAAATTGTTCCAAAAGTTTAGGTAGTTTGAAAAAGTCCAAAATAAACAAAAACAGACTGGTCAATAGACCGGATTCAGCTGAGCAGTTTTCACTGCTGAATTTAAAGGAACTGACCATGAAAAGCTTTGTAGAAGTGATGGCTTCTCGCCGACCGATTCGCGGAAGAGCCATCCTCTATAGTAAAGTATGACAGTGATTGCAATTCGGACGACATATACAGCAACGAAGGCAAAGGCAATTGCAGTCAACAGGACACAACTCAAAGTGGAGTAGTGATGAGGGGCTGAAAACGAGAGCACTTAGAATGAAGTCGTTTTTTTCAGAAAACTTTTCTTCTTTAAAGAATGTTCTGAGATCGACTAATCATAGTTTTCCAGACCGAAAAAGTCGCGTAAGACTGGAAGATAAAGGGACACTGGTGATTTAACAGTCATATTACAGTTTCCAGAAAATTAGGCCATCTCTTATCTGCAAGGGTTGTTTGCCTTCCTTAGCACTACAAGGCACCAACCACCGCAGATGTATTCAGGAGATTTAGGACATTGTTGCCGTGACAAACTAGGGAATGTCTCCTCGCGAGACGACTCGCCATACCGCAACACTTCCGCCCTAGGTCATTTAGATCCTGCTCTAATGCATGTGCCACCGCTTGCAATACCTCTATCTCGCCGCACCTGCGAGAGGGAAACACCTGGGGAAACTTGGGCGTCAGGAGTTTTTCGGTACAGTGAGTTGCCACAGCTGAAGAAGTCTCACATACTCCTGTAATTGTTTTGCCGTCTTCACATGGAATTATGCCCTTTCAAAACTATAGTTCACAGACCCTTTAGGAATTATTCCCTTTCAAAAAGATCACCAGGACCAGACCTTTACCTTTGGAGCACCGGCGTTCCTTATCCCATTGTTGGATTCCTGCTTTTTTTGCCCAAGGAATCCTTCAAATAATCACTAAGTTATGATCGCCCATCTTTTCAGCATTGACGGTTAAAGGCAGCGCCCACGTTCATTTGATGATCCCGTGCCCTCTGTGAATATCATAGCCCTGTCATATGAGGATGCAGTATGTACTAGTTTTGCATCTCAAAAAGGCGAGAGGATAGCGCCGTTCGCTAGTGAAGAGTCGGCCGCCCCGCCCACCTGGCCAGCATAGGGTTCTATATAGGGCATTTTCCATGATTTTTTTCCTGCTTTTTTCTTCACTACTGGCATTCACTTATATATATATGAACTCATTATTCTTGAAAGCAGGCTCAGCCTTTGAAGGCTAAGCTAAAGCAGTTATGGCAGCCACGTGGGCGGGGCGGCATCCTCTTCACAAGCGGGTGGCGCCATCCTCTCGCATTTTTGAGCTGCGAAAACCTTTTTCTCGCTATTTTCTGAGCTGCGAAATTAGTACATCCTCCACCCTTGTCGATAAAGCTACGATATCTAAGGAGGGCGTAGGAACATCAAGTGAACGCGCTGCCTTTAATTCTGTGCTAGTCCGAGCTCGCTAAAAAGAAGTTCCAACCAAACCGAGATCATGCAGTCGATTAATCGTATTGGGCACACTAAATTGCAGCGCGAACATATAGTTCAATATCGCTCGCAGTGAGCCGGGGAAGCCATCAGAGGCGTGGAACAAGTTCCAACTACTGGCTGTTTTTTCTGCCAAATAGTTGATCGATTAGTGACCCGATTCAGGAAGGAATAACGGCAGTGGGACGAAAGCGCCAGCCTCATATATATATTTCTTGACAGCTTCCATCAACTGTTGCAACCTTAACTTAACTGTACCTGTATTACACGCTTTTTTTGTTTTACTTAGCTTTCACCTGATAAAATTAGCGGCGTTTTTGCACCCACTGTATATTATCGAACCTTCACGAACTCAGTATTGAACGAAGTTAATTTGAAAAATGCTCACTCACGTCAGCAAGTAACCGGCAAGATTTTCCAGGTCCGGACTGGCAATACAAATAGCGGAAATCCGAACACATCGAGCACAGTGCACACAATGATAATGTAGAGCAGTTCATGAGGTAGGAACGGGAAAACGCGATCGGACAGAGAGTGCTGAAGTATACGATACTTTCGAAGGCAAAACGGAGAAAAAACTTGAGAGTGCACTGTCCACCGTTCGCATAGGCGGCGTCAGACATACTGTTGTACACCCTCTTAACACCTTACAACAGACTACAAAACACCGAGGAAGTACGGTGATGGGTCTGACGCCATCTACACGATCGTAGTCTGCGCTTTTCAGGAATCGATGGTAACACATCAGAAAGCTACGAGACGCAACATATTTTCTGATCTTGTACACATTAACAGCTATAACCGACTCAAATGAGATTTAGCCCTCGAAGCAGTGCGTCTGGTTCTCAAGTGCAAGACGTCGAGCGCCCCAGACAGAAGTTTCCTAGAGAAGGGCATTGACGGTATAACGACAAATAGTGCGTTCGCGCCCATGGACAAGATTCGGGGTTTATGGTCAACCCCCACCCCTCTCCCAGCGAACATTGCGCACGTAAAATGCATATTCAATCATGGCTGACATTCTGGATGCAAGTCGCAGGCATGGCGTATCCGGAACTGGGTTGTTTAACGCTACCAGCTTAGTCCTCAATGTTTAATGAGGGGAAAAGGTGTGCATTCAAAAAAGGGGAAAACAAATAACGCTCTCCTCCCTGTTGAAGTGCAGGCTTTTTCAGGAAATGTACATAATTCATTGCCACGCCTACAACAAGGAAGTGGATATCTGTGGCGGTGCAGCAAGTGTAATGATGCATTAAGCTCAGTTATAGTTACGATCCATGCAAGCAATAGATCGTGTAAAGGGACAAGAGCGTCACCAGAACAGCATTTCTCACCAGTTGATGTGAAGTCATGATGGCATCATGGAAAAGCCGCCTTGGCAGCGCTTCAATCCATGCATCGCCACGCGCCAATGACTGTATACCGTTGGCTCATGACTGTGGCCAAATCCCGTTTGCAGGGATTATGACTGTGGACCATGACTCATAAGTGTACGAACCCAAGAAAAACTGCCCCTTCCACTTTGAGATCAGGCCATGCAATCGCGATGAGGAATTCCTTTCTTTACGCCATTTCCCTCTCAAACCCTCCCGTCACTTGCTCTCATGTCG